CAACAGAAAAGTATATAAATATAATATACATATGTATTAATTATGAAATATCATCAGAAGATAATCTTACCTTAGAAAAGGTAGATTTAAACCTTAGTGGAAAACACAAATAACAATACCCCCCCGTCCCTCACTCCCCACTCCCCACCCCCTGCACACACACTTCTTCGAGTCTTTTCTGGAGTTTTTGTACAGCCATAAAAATTTCACTTATAATCTCTCTTCAAGATTTTCCAGTCCAGAAGTGACCACCTCCTGCTCATCCTCTCTAGATTACTCTTTCTAAACATTTACAGACCAAAAGAAAGTTCTATCAGTGAAATTTTATGTGGTTTATTACTTTCAGTCGCAACACCCCACCTTTGATAATGGTTTACTTTCATTATTATGTAAGAGTTCAATCACACCCATTTCTGAAAAAAAATTAATCACTGTGTAAAAATATAATAGACACATTTGTGCCTACATATTCAAACTCCTACTTCACCATCCAGTCTTCCAAATCTAAGTGTATACAAATTAGACAAGAGATGCACGAGGAATTAGTATTACTCCCCCCCCCCCAAAAAAAAAAATGTTTTTAAGGGAAATACGGTCTAAACAGAACTTTAAACAAATTGACTTCCACTGCAAGCACTGTCCCCAAATAAATTTATTACACCCTAGAATCAAGTACACTCAGGGCTGGAATGTCATGCCAGTCATATATTACTTTAACCTCAATAAATCTCTTCTTACTCTCCAAATTCTAGGCTGCTTTCTAAAATAGTTCATGAAAAAGCACCAACCTAATTAACAACAGCTTCCTCAGCAACAATGGCCTTGATTTCACTTATTTACACATTAACTGCAGCCTCCTTTTGGCCAATCCAGTCTATTCTCTGTACTATGCCGAGCCTTTTATCTGCCCTGGACAGCATTTTCTCCAGCAGATGAAGTAGATGCCGATTGATTTGCTGTCGAGCACGGTAAATTAATAGCAACAAATTGCTGAGGGCCTGTCTCGCTGCTCCACCATGCTTCGGCAGTTTTGCTTTATTTGCTCCATGATGGGCAGCAGTCGGCCTCTTCAAGTCAATTTCTTCTTAACAACCTGCAACACTTTTCAATGGTGAAAATAGAGCTGTTCCTTGTAAGTCAGAAATCAATATCCTATTGCCCTTAGAAAATGCTAAACAAGCAGTATTGGCAATCCACTTGGTACTAGAGGGTATCAGATATAATGCAAATCCATACTGCTTCCCTCCTTGTAGTTATTACAGTTTGCTAAAAGGTTCCTAATGTCATTTATCATCATTTACCATCGACCAGAGAGGCTATGATTATATGATATCCTATCAGTCGGCAAGGCCCCTTCATTTCTATTCAATTAATATTTTAGCAGCACTCAAATGGTTGTTGCCCAAGTCTTGGAATAAAATTTACATGGCTTGAAATGGAACAGGAGTTTTCTTGCTACGATTAAAAAAAAAAAAAAAAAAAAGACCATCTCTATGAATATATATAGTGTACATACACACACATATAAACACATAAACATTTATATACAAATGTGCAATACTGCTTTTAGATTATAAGTGTTGGAAAATTCTAAAATTTTCTAATTATTTCCAAAATTCAAATACTAGCCTAAATTTTTTTTAAAGCAAAAAGATCTCCGGATTAGAGAATATTAACTACAAGGAAGTCAGGAGTTTCTCATTCTCTCCTTTTCAAAATGTGGTAAATTCATCTCTTTTTACAATTCCTACAGGTTTAATTCACATATCTACTGTTCTTAATCTACATCACTTTTTAAAGTGGTAACTGCTGCTGTCAGATTAAATCAGGGAGGTCTTCTTTAATTACAGCATTACAGGTGAAGGATGAGAACGAGTAGCATTTAGCAATGATATTAACTGCATGCATCATCACGTTCTGCCCACGATCGCTAACCCATTTAGGAGAAGCCATGCTGCATTTACAAAGAGGAACCATCAGCAAAAAAAAAGTAACAACTAAACCTTAGGCCAAATGCCCCATCAAAAACAAAAAACAAAACCCCACACTTAAAGGAAATCCTTGTGGAAGAAAGTCAACGTTCTTTCATTTTTTTAAAATTCCATTATGAAGACATCACAATAAAACATTTTCTAACCATGTCCCATTTGTCATCTTCACTTTCACACTAGAACTTAAGATAGCAACGAAGCATTAATTCACATTATAGCCTAGAACTCTCCACCCTAACTTTACAGGGTTTTGTTGCAGCTTCATCTGCTCAGCTTTATTGATCCTACCAAAGATTACCAGAAATTAGATTCATATTTTATGCTCTAATTCCATGTCATGTTACTGAGTTCCCTCAAAAAAAAAAGAAAAAAAAAAAAAAACCTAATTCTACCAGACTAATGCTATTTACTCAGTTACCAAAATTTAAATTAATTATGTTCTCAAACATAATTGTTAAAAATTGGCAACATTATGCAGGCTTAATTAAGATTAAATCCAATTTACTAAAAGTACTTTAATTGGTACTAATTACATTAGCTTTCATTTCAGAATGACAAATTCCCCATAGGTTTCACTTTATGGTCCTCTATCAGAAGCAACAAAGGGTGACTGATGATGAGCATCACAGAAGGGAGGGGGGGCAATCCCCACCCCCACCCTGTTTGTCACTGCTCTGTGCTTTTATCCTTCTATCAATTTGCTAAGTCACAGAGTCATGACTCCATCACAGCCATCATTTTCTGTTCCAATGAAAAATTTCTCTAAAAATGAATACTCTGTGGCTGGCTGCAGCCAAGAACAGGAGCGTTAACCAAAAAATACACAAAGGTTTCAAATATCAGGGCCACCAATTACTAGCGGGTACTTCCAAGGACTCCAGGGACTCCTACTCTTGAACCCTTCGAGACATAAATCTAATAAGTGAATAAGCCTAACCCGATCTTGAGAACTAGGCCCAATTACGCCGCAGGGCAACTTCCCTGCATTATTGCTGCTTTCCATTACAAGGGCATCCAGCAAGTGCATCTGGAAGAGAGGCTAAGAAGAACCAAGGCTGTCTGCCTAGGAAAACAAATAAAGACAGATATGCCTCTGTGCTTAAGGGGGGAAAGAAAGAAAATATAATAAGTAGGTGGTTTGCAGGACTGTCTGTACTTCATAATGTGATAAACTGCCCTCAGGATTCTTGATATGATTGAATTTAAAAGCAAGAGGAAAAAAAGAGAAAATTTACTCCATTCTCAGTTTTAAATGGATGGCGTTTGAGGCCAGCTGGACACGAAGATGACAGGATTATAGAGGTATAAAATGTGTAAAATTAAGGGATCTCACATACCAAAAAAAAAAAAACAAAATACATTCAGCCAAATACAAGCTACGCACCTCTCAGACACGTAGGTGGTATACGGAAATCTGGAAACAAGTGGATAAGGTAAACAAAATACAGAAGGAGAAATAAAGGGACATTAATCATCTAGTCTAATCTTTGAAAAGACACTAATTAGTGGGGGTGATGGGAAGACCAAAAAAAGCCGTGTACAAGATCCAGACCTAAAATGAAATGTAATAAGGATAATTAACAAACAATATTTCTCGTGTAATTTATTCCTATAAGGTACGTCTAAGGGGATCCACCTGTAACTTGAATGGATTCTGTTTAAGCAAGAGATGTTTACATTAGTAATCTAAACAGAAATGGCAAAGATGCCAAAATAAGAATTTAATTTCAACACACAGCATTCAAACTATACTGTACTATACCATACACTAAACCACACTACACCATCTTGACATAACCCAGTAGCATGCGAAGTAAAACAGTATCTGAAATAAAAGACCACAGTGCTAAGTAACTCATTTTTCCTCAACTTTCTGTTTTCAAATACTGTCCCCATCTGATTGCTTTTACTGTTTAACAGTCATTTAAAGATCTACTATCTGAGTGCATTCTGAGCATGTGGTGAATAACCATCCCCAAAAAGGAATCCATAAACAGTAAAAGCCTAATAATATGTGGTCACTTCATATTTTCTAAACTTAGAAGATAATGACATCCACCTTGAACATAAATAAGAGACAAAAAGTGTTAGGTTTCTCTCATCTTTTCCCAGCAGGCAACCATATACACACCTATTCAGAAATGGTTAATGAGACTTGAAGCACTATCACTAGGAAATCACTAAAAATAAACGCTTCCAAAAGGAATTATGATTACCAAACAATATTCAACACGTATGCATGTGTATGTGTACACACATATACGAATATACTATTTCTTCCTGTCTAGGAAACTTAAACCAAACCTTTCTGCTCAGTCTCCTGCAAAAAAGGCTGTCTGAGTCATACCTCTCCACTTTCTGACTAATTACCTTTTTTTTTTTTCCTTTTGGCTGAACTAATTGCTAGATTTCAAGACCCAGTGTTGAACCTCATCACATCCTTCTATCAGGCTCATTTACTCTACAAATTTTGGAAGTTAACGGTTACAGTTCCTGGTAAAACCCAACTAAGCAGCCTCCGGGGACCAGTAAAAGGATTTTACATCAATTTCTTTTTGTAGGTCCACAGATTTCATTTTGATCCTCCCCAGCTCACCCTCTATCCATTCTTTCACTTTGAGCCAACTGAAAGGCTCCACACAATTTACAGTTTTACTTTTTAATATTTTCCAAGAAAAGCGCTTTCATAAAACAAGTTTGCAATGCCTGAAATATATAAAGTAACTCTTTTAAAAGAAAAACAACATATTTTCAAATTTACCATCCTGATTTTGAAAGTGTATAAAAGATCAGCATGCATGCAGACATTTTTAATCACGTTTTTAAATAAAATTAGAATAATATGCAACAAAGATGGGGAGCCGCACATGAAAAATAGCATTCTACCCGTATAGTCTTAAAATACAGGTAGCCGCAAAAACATGCAAAATTACAAAACATACAATTCTCTTTTTAAAGCACGCAGTATTACCAATTGTCACTTAATATGGTTATAAACAAATAACTTACCTGCTTATGCATTTCTATATTCAACCCATAGGACATTTCATAATACTGTCAAAGAAGGAAAAGCAATTAAATTAGTGCCCTTCATCAAGCAATCTTTTGAAGAAAGTTTGTTCAAAATGTCCCAAAACAAAATAAAAGCCTCACCTAAGGCAAAATATCCATAACATCTACGCCTCTAAATCAAGGAAACGCCAACCACTATCTTTAGCCTAATAAAACTAGAAACCACCTTAAGACAGACTGTAAAAGAATAACTCACAGAACTAAAAAAACTGAGTTGAAACATAGCATTCTTAACATCTCCAGTTGTCTTTTTACATCAGAAGCAGATGAGTCAAAAAGCCTGATGAAAACTCAGTACCATATGGATTCTAATTCCTAGGCAAAACATACAAGTGGACAAGTTAACGGCAAAAACGTGTCTCCTACAAATGCTGATGTTTTGAAAAAGCTATTCAAAACGGTGGTGCTACGTAAGAGTTCAGTTTTTCATTTTTAGTATATTGCTCACATTAACACAGTCAAAGAAAAAAGGTTTGATAGAAAATGAATGAGTTACTCAGGAGCCTTTACGAACAATCACACAAATATGCTTAATAATACTTCTGAAAAAGAACTGATTTTTTTTTTTTTTGAACATGTAGTATAACTGGCATTATAGAAATTGTAGCAAAACAAATCAGCTATCCAGGGAACTAAAACACTCCTCAAGTCAATGCTATAAAAATGAAAATGCACACACACACACAAACACACACCCAATAGTAATATAAAGAGTGAAGAAAAAAATTTGAAAAGGGGTCTGCTGTCTTTCCTTATCCACCATTCTTTTTTTCCCCCCTCCACCATTCTTTAAAAGAACTAAAGCATATCAAAATCTTAACAGTATACCAAAAAACTGGTTAAAATTGTTTGGAGCAAGAGCAATAAAACAACAAAGAAAACCTCTAACAGTAACATTTTGCTTGTGACTCTAAACAAAACATAAATGAGATTTAGTTTTTATTTTTTTTCTATCTATAAAAACAAAGCACAGAAAATTATACCCCATGCAGCTAAACTTTTTGAGAATTCAAATCAAAGCAGGTTGTCAAAGGCAAGTTATAACATCCTAGAATTACAGGTTGCTAATGGACACATTCCCACAACCTCAACTACACTGGCACCACAACTAGGATCTATCCTGCAGCCTCCAGCAATCTGAACGTATTCTAGCTTTTGGTATCTCAAACTAATAAGCACTCTGAGTCTGTGACACAGTTTTCTTACCATGACATAATGCCGCTGCATCTCCGTCTTCTCACTGGCGAGTTTCTCACATTCCAGCTTCAGGCTATTGGAGACATAATGAAATCTAAGTACAACGCAGAACTTGACTTACATCCTTCAAATCTAAATACACAAGCCCTTCTCTAAATCATCACCTACAAACACCAAATCAACAATCTTAAATACCACCCTCATTATTGAAGGAAGGGAGAAAAACAGGTGATTAGAACCAGTCTAGACTTGCCCTTTCAAGATCAAATGTGGGTTTGCTTGTTTTTTTACAAGGAAAAAAAAAAACCTCTTCTGACAAATTTAATTCTAGAATCTCATCCAGAAATGTGTACTTACTAAACTCACTTAATAAAACAAAATACAGGGAAAATAAGCATCAATAACATCTGCATATCCAGGCACAAATAAGTCCCCCAAAATGTCACAAGGGAGTTTTTTCTTTAATGTTCCACGAACAGAGTGATGAAAATATGAATCAAGCATGTCTTATGAATGATGTTTTATTTCTTCCCTCCAAAACACAAAGACAAGTTGAATACCACCACCCAGGGGCAAAGTGCTGATCGGGTTCAGTGGTTTTTTGGTTCTCGCATTTATGAAATACGAGTTTATACATCATTAAAAAGCCAGCAAAAGAAAAATGTTTGAAAACGTCTCTAATAACCTCCTCTATAACAAAACATTTTTTCAGCATGAAAATAATGAAATCGCTCACTCGCGACTTTCCAAGGCTCTTGGCTCTTATTATTCCAGTGGAATGGCAGAGAAAAGTGAGAAGGAATCAAGCCCAGGGTAATAAAGCACCAAAGAAGTCAAAAGGCCCCTGAATCCTCCCAACCTTCCCTTCTCTAAGCCCCAATAAATCAATATCGAAAGTTTGGCCTCAGCGTTTTCCAAGTCTCCCCAGTTTCGATTGTTCTGGCTTGCCATTTTTTTTTTTTTTAAATTTACGAGAGAAATGTTTAATTTCTTTACACCTGCCTGAAGAAAAAGACGCTTTTACTTGCCCTTTCTGCCTACAAGAAAAAACGATAATAATGCCTTTGCGGCGGCCAAAAATAAGGGTGAGGGTGGGGGATGTTTGTGTGTGTTTGAGGTGTTGGGGGGGTGGAGGAGACAAGAGCTAAGCAAACAGAAGGATCAGCTAAAGTCAATATCATTACCTGTGGTATTGAGCCTGTAAAAACTGAAACTCTTCCTTAATCCGATCACAGGACTCGGAAATTGTAAATTTAAAGGGCTGTGCAGGCTGATGCGGTGCCTAAAGAACAATAAAATATTTAATTAGCCCACATCACAGGAGAAGCAGGGAGCTGGAGAAAACATACCACGCGGCGCTAGCAAAGGGGGTGCTGGGGGTCGCTGTATAGGCAGGGAAAGAGCGATTAAAACTCTCCTGCCGGCCCCTCCTCTCCTCCAACAGCCCGGGCAAGGGTTGATTGCGGAGTGGCCCCCACCCTCTGCCTCCTCGCGTCCCAAGCCCCGCGCGCCCCGAACTCCGCAGGTTCGAGACCCCGCTCCCTCCCTTGCCAACAGCGAGCGACGACGGGCCGGTGCACCGCGCCCACTCCCTCCGCACCCGGAATCGAAACTGGCCCGTCGAGGGGACTCGCGCCATGGCGTCGGGCCGCGGTCAGGCCGGGGGAGAACGGGTGGCGCAGACGGGACGCAGACGCAACCCTCCTGGGCTCCCTCGCTCGCCCGCCCCCAGGGGTCGGCACTCCGGAGCTGCAGGCGGACGAGCCGCGCCGCCGCTGAGGGCGCCCTCCCCGCCCCGGCGCGGAGTCGCGCCTCCTTCATCGCTCGCTCCCCCCACCCCCCACCCCGCAGGAGTCGCGGCGTGGGGACGGCGAACGACTCCGCGCGGCTTCCAGGAGCTTCAAAGACAACAATAAGAAAATGGCTACAACTCAATTGCCTCTCCGCACCCCCTCTCCGAGAGTGGCACCGGGCCGAGGGGAGGGGGGGTATGGCGGGCGGGCAGGCAGCTCCCAGAGCGGCGCTCGGAATGCGGGCCGCACTCCACGCCCCTCCGGCCAAAACACTACTAAGCACGCAGGAGGGCGACGCGGAGAATCCTCCGGCGCCGGGCAAGCCCGCGCCCCGCCACATGCACTCACCGGGTGTCTGGTCTGCGGGTACATCTTGCTCAGGTCGCGAATCATCCAAACCGATTTAGTTGGCTGCTCTAGGCAGAGGCGCGCGGCTCATTGGCTTTAATGGTCCCGAGGAGGAGGCGGCGGCGGAGACGGCCGGCCGGGTCCGAGGGGCGGCTCGGGCAGTCGGGGCCCCCGCCGGGTCTTGCGTGACGCGGCCGGGAGGAACGCGCGGCGGCGGCGACTGGGTCCCGGCGGCCGGGCCGCTCCGCATTCCCCGCGGGCGTCACTGGCCCGCCGCGGGCATTGTCCAGCGCGCGTCTCCCGCGGCAACGCTCCGACGTTCGCTCCGCAGAGGCGCGCCTGCCGAGCCCAGCGCCACAGCCGTGCCGCTCGGCTCGGCCGGGAAAGTGCGAGCTCCGCAGCCGACTGGCCGCCGGCAGCGCCGCTCCCTCGCTCGCTCGCTCGCTCTGCGCCCCACTCCAAACTTTTTATTTGTCTTTTAATTGGTTGTTATTCCTCCGAATGAATGATCTCTTCTTTCCTAAAAGCAAACACAAACTCCTTTGGTTCGGAAGAGGTCTCGGCGGTGCTTTTTAGTTTCTCTGGAGATTTTTTTCACTTCACAGCAACGATCTTTTAAAAGGCACCTTTTAGCTTCTTTTACCACATCTCATTTCCTTATTTTTCTTCCTTCCTGTTTTCTTGTCTTTTTTTAACCCCAAATTGAAGGGGATTATAAAAATAAAAGTGAAACGCTTGCGGCTGTTTTTTTTAATTCTCTCTCCTTTCAAACTCTGCGAACACCACCTCAAAATAATATACAAGTGTGTGAGAGGGGGAAGAAAGCAGCCAACAGCCCAAACACCCGCTCAGAACAGCTCTAACAACACGCTCTGTGTAGGTGACTTCTTTGACCAAATTTAGCAGCAGCTAATCATTAACATTCTGATACATATTCACAATCGTCCGTGAGGGATCGCGGAGCATCCCGGGAGATGTAGTCCGCCCACGGCGAGTAAGGCTGAGGATTTGACCAGATTGACTACAATCACCGGCCGGCCACGCGACCTCTCTGGGGCGCCCTCCAAGCGCTCCGCCCACCCCCGGCACGGCAGGCATCTCCAGCAACCAATCAGAGAGGGCTGAACATTAATCGCCGTTCTATGTTACTGCCCATCATTTCACTGCTGACAAATGGCGAGCCGTTGGGGAGGAGCCGGTCAGGATGAAACCCACGTGGGGGCCGGGCGGTGCCTGCGTCTCCAACCAATGAACAGAACGGGATGGGGTTGGCAGAGGCGGGGCGGAGATGGCCCGCCCAAGGCGGAGCTTCGTCTTGGCTGACGTTCCTTAGCGCGAGCGTTCGAACCAGGGAAACATTTGTTCAGCTGTCAATCAAAGTAACGTGGGGCTGGGAGAAGCGGCGGCGGCGACGGCTGCTGCTGTTGTTGCTGCCCTGGGTGCATCTTCAGAACTGGGTGTTGGTGGCGGTGGTGGCGGCAAAATAAAGGGGGTAAAGGGGGCAGTGAGACTTGGGGCTGGTCAGAAGATCTCCTTCCGAGTCTCGTCCTCCCTCCCTCCCCAAACACCCCCGGCCCTTCGCTCCGCGGTCGCGCCAGGAATGCGGACTAATTAGGGTCCAATGTCTCCTTAAAGAGACAAGCTCGGCCTTGTGTAACGCGCCGAAACCCCTGTTGAGACAAGAGAGGGAGGATCACGCTGATCCGACTTCGTTCGGTTCACATCAATTTTACGCACCGCTGGAGCCGGCATAATTTTCCGTGTGAACGCGGACTCGGGCCCCTGCCCTTGTTTAGAGCCGAAGACGAAGCTGCGAGACGCCTACCTGGGCGGGGGACAGGGAGCGGCGGGTGGGCTGGCACCTCTACGAGCCTCGGGGGAAGCTGTGATTGCCGTTTAACCCCGAAGCGAGGTCGCTTCCCCCCAGGCAACTAGGGAAGGAAGCGCCCCAATAAGATCCACCCGGGGGCCGCGGGCGCGCATCCGTGTAGTGTCGGCGTGGGCTGAAGACCCGCGGGCGGGGGCCGAGGGATTCCCAAAGAAACTTTGCTCTGGGGTCCACTTGCACCCAGCAGACTGTCATTCGGTCCTCATTTAAGCAAGGCCAACGCGGCCTTTACCCCGGCTCTGGGAAGAAAACGCCCTCTGTTCGTATCGGCGATGCTTCGGCTCCCAGCTTAGTGGGAAGAAGACTATCTCCTCTCCCTCTTATGCCGCTGCCCCCCACCCCCCACCCGCTGCTCTTTGGAGTAGCCTGCCCTGTAGAAACGTGGGGCACGCGGGCCCCAAGACAACGCGGGCTGGTCACCATGGGGTAGGAGCTGGAAAGATGGAGGCTACCCGAGGGCGGGGGCAGGGGAGATGCAGGCGGCTGGGAGGTGGGGGGCAGCCTCGGCGGGGAGGGGGCGTGCCTAGATGAGGGCTTTGGAGGTGGGGTGGACTCGAACTCGGAGGCAAAGGAGGGAGCGACCCAGAGCAGGCAGCCCCTCCAACCTTAACTCCCATCCAGCTGATGGCAGCTCCCAAGTTTGAGGGAGAGGCCACTGGGGCTCCAAGCCATCTCTTGCGAGTCTCTGCCCTTTGGGGGATAGGGAGGAATTCGGAAAAGGTTCAAGTAGCAAGCCAAAACTGGTTGCCGTGGAGTTGATTCAGATTCACAGCGACTCTATAAGACAGAGTAGAACTGGCCCATAGTTTCCAAGGAGCGGCTGGTGGATTAGAACTGCTGACCTTTTAGTTAGCAGCCAAGGGGTGGCTAATTAGATGGTCTCAGATTTGGACATTAATTTTTGAATGTCCTTTGCCCACTCTAGCTAGAGATGTCTGAGATGGTGCTGTTGGTTTAGCATTAGTGGAAAACCATTCTTCTTGACGATGTCACTTTCCTCAGTGGACGAATTAATTATTTAATAACTATCCTAGCACATCTTATGAGCCTCCTTATGTGCAGGGTACTGTGGAGGGCTGGTGCAAAGGAAGGCTATGATGGTCCTCTCATTCCTTACCAAAACTCTGGAACTGGAGCTCACAAAATGTTTCAATTCAGCAAACATTTTCTCCTGCATCCCCAAAATAAGAGGACGGAGGAATCTAACAGTTTTCTGAACCTCTGTCATCCAATACCTACTACCTATATGTGGTTGTTGAGCACTGGAAATTCGGCCAACTTAAAATAAAATGTGCTCTAAATATACATACACACCAGATTTTGAAGAGTTAGTATTAAAAAAAAAAGAAGAAATTGAAATAGCTCAATAATTTTTATAATGATTACATGTTGAAACAATATTTTGAATATATTGAGTTAAAACAAAATATATTATTAATATTATTTTTGCCTGTTTATTTTTACTTTTTTTTTTTTAACTTGGCTACTAGAACATTTAAAATTTCTTACGTGGATCACATTATTTCCATTGGACAATACTGTTCTGAAACATTTGCAAGAATCAAAACGTAGAAGACTTGAGTGATGCAATTTCTATACTAGGACAGTGATTTTTCTAAGAACACCAGCAGCAACAACATTCTATCCTAAGGTCATTTATTTGCTCCCACTGGAGCTTTTCAATAATTGGTTAAATCACCCACAGTGCCTCTGTAGGGAAGTTCCATGTTCTCTGTTTTAGCCAGAATGTTAGCAAGTTCCATAAGAACAGGGACTTAACATAGTTGTGCTCACAGCTGCACTCGAAATGCTTAGAATGATGTCTGGCACATAGTTGGTGCTCAGTAAATATTTGTTGATGACATTAATGAATGAATGCCATGTTGTGTCAATATAGAAAGCTTCTGCATCATCTGGGCTGTATTTATTGAAATTCTGTGCAGTTATTTCCCAGGACAGGAAATGAGAATTCTAATAATAGAACCTGAAGAGCTATTGAGAGGGTCACTGGACAAAGGGGAAACTTTGCTCTGTTAGGAAATATCAAATAGCTTGTAGCAGGGACCTTTCTCCTAGTATCTCTTGACAGTTTGTGTCAACAGAAGAGTAACTAGAGAAATCAGGATGTTTCTTTATTTTTTATTAAGGACAGTTTTAAAATACAGTACTTGGATATGTTTCACATTTTGGCTATGTGGCCCATAACCTATTGCCATCAAATTCCGACTCATAGCAACCCTAGAGAGTAGAACTGCCCCATAGGGTTTTCTAGGCTGTAGATCTTTATGCAAGCAGACTGCTGTATCTTTCTCCCATGGAGCAGCTGGTGGGTTTGAACTGCCAACCTTTTGGTTAGCAGCCAAGCACTTCACCACTATGCTAGCAGGACTCCTGGCTATGTGGCAGATCTATATAACTCTCAATGATGTCTCAGATGCCAATTGCAGCAGCTGGTGGCCCAGCCCTGGTCCCAACACAGACAGCAAGTGCTGCTTATGGCTACTTTTGTCTCCCACTCTGCTCTCTGAGCTTCTCACAAACTGTTGTGATGAGCTGTGAAGTTAAATGAAGGCTCATCTTATTCCTACTGCACAATGTGGGCTCCAGAATTTTCATGTAGAAGGGGCTTGGTTTTCACTTGGGTTATATGTAATAAATCATTGATTCTTTCACCAAATATTTACTGGGTGCCCAATATGTGCCAGAACATGGGAATTTAGCAGTAAATGTGATTTAGTGATTTATTACCTCTCAGCTCCAAATTCACCCTCTTTGCCTGCTCTATGAAAATGGATCTGGGCCCTTTAAATTGTTCCCTTTGCCAGCTGGCACTGAAGCCTTGCCAGTAGAGGGCACTGGAGAGACATTGCAAGGAAGAAGGTTTTGCTTCCTGGTTGTGGTGTGCTTCATCAGTATGTTTCTACAGTACAGGTGCAGTCAGCAGCACCCAGCAGCTTCCCACATAACCCCCCTTAGGCAGTTTTGTGTGGAGTGCCTCAGTGAGATATCTCCCCAAACAGTTTTCCCCAGCACCCCAGAGGATGGATTTCCAGCAAGTTTTAGCGTGCAGGTTTCTGGCAAATTCCAGAAGGCAGATTTGCAGCAGAGTCCACCTGCATAGCACTATAGCACCTTCACTGCCATTCAAAGAGACAGCTGCTGCCTCTCCAACAAAGTCTGGATCTCAGCCCTAGGGTGTGTGGGGAGTTGGGGGAAGGCTCTTGTTTGGGCACTCTTATCTCAGCCCTAGGGGCAGTTACTGCTCCTTATATCTGCTATTTCTATATTCTTTAGAGGTCTTTTTACTTCCTACTAGTCAATCCCTCTTTACTCCAATTCTCTGTTATGTTAATCATTCTTTATATGAAACTTTCCTTGTTCAAGTAACTATGATTTCTCTCTTGATTTTACCCAGACTGATACAGTAAATGGCATAAGAAAAATCTCTTTCCCTGTTAGAGCTTACATTCTAATGGAGGAAAACAGATAGTTTAACAAGTTACAGTATAATAAGAAGATGGTGGTAAGTGCTATGAAGAGAGAGAAAGCAAGATAGGAGTGACTGGCCCCTGGGTGGTGTGAACAGTTTACACTCGACTGCTAAGCTTAAGGTTGGTGGTTTGAACCTACCCAGTGGCACTGTGGAAGAAAGGCCCAGTGACCTGCTTCTGTAAAGATCACAGCCAAGAAAACCCTATGGAGCAGATCTACTCTATAACACATGGAGTTACGATGAGTTGGAATTGACTTGATGGCAAAGGGTTTGGTTTGGTTTGGTTTGGGTTAGGAGCGACTAGAGTGGTGGAACTAGTTCAGGTGAGATGTCATAGACTGTTTCTCAGAAGAGGCAACAGTTAAGAGAGGCCTGAATGCCCAAAAAACTTCAGCCGTGACAAAGATCACTGAGAAGCGAATTTCAGGTGGATGCAAAGGCCCTGTCTGGAGAAGAATTGGTGAATGTAGGGATTTTTAAAAGGCTGGCATGTGCCAGGGGGAAAGCAGTATAAGTTTAGGTAACACCCAATAAGGTATTTGTTTTCTATTTTGAGTGTAATGGAAAACCATGGTGTGAGGTGGGGGCGTAGGTGGATGCATGTTGTAAGTAGACACAGGATCATTACAGAAAACAAAGTGATTGAAAGGTGCTCTTATTTACCCTTGACCTCAGATTGAGAAA